ATACGGACCTCAAGGCCACACACATCGACTCACTTCTCCACTGGGTGAGACCGGCTGCAACCTTTCCCCTTCCTCTATCCTCTTCTCGCCCAGGCGCAGCGGCGCACATTTCCGGGCACGACGCCCACCTACCGAAGGCCACGGCGGGGCAGTCCTCCATGGCCGCGGCCGGCGAGGGCCCGTGCGAGGTCCCCTGAGCGGCGGCGCGGGTCGCGACCGGACAAGGTCCCCGAGCTACCTGTGTTATTTTATTCATTTCTCTCTCTTTCTCTCTGGAAGTATCCATCCCACTCCCGTCGTTCTCCCTCCTTGGGCTTCCTGTTCATCTTCCAGAAGCGGGTGGGATGCGCTGCTTTTGGCTGTAGCCGCGGGGTAGTGCCTATGCTGTAGCGCCTCTCCCCTATCCTCTGAATCGATTTATCACCGATTTTGGTTTTGGTGTCTGTCGATTCATCTCCTTCCCCAAATCGTCTGAACGGTTTTGGTTTTCCTTGTGCAGGCAATGTTTCCTTAAATTTATTCAGTCGTCTATCAATCAGACAGTTGTTTCTGCAGATTATCGTTCTTGATTCATCGGATTGTAAAGGTATTTTTAACACGATCTCATGCCTTCTCTCCCTCCCCTGAAATATGCAAAAAAAAATTGATGCTCATATCCCTAATCTGTGTGTTGTGCTCTAAGTTACTGTGGATCTATGTTGTTTTTAGTGTCCACTTAGCTCGGATCTGTAGTGTTTTTAGTGTTCACGGTGGTTTGGATTTTTTTTGGTATTCTAGTTTCAGTTGTAGTTACTGAACCCATTCTGATTCAGTATTTCAGGTTATTGAGTTTTATTGTACTATGTTTGGCACTCGTCTGCTGCTTTTGCTTGTTATTTTCGTGTGCCAGAGATGTTGGTTTAGTTGTGTGTGCTCGGCATCTGCGCTGCTATCCGATCCATTGCATTTCGTGAGCGAGACTTTGCTGTGACTGTATGTGTGTGAGAGGATGAATAAATAAACAAGGAGAGGAAATCATCGGTCATCAGCTTTATTAGCAGCATGAGCTTGCGGATCATCAACTAGTGGTTCTGGGTTGGCGTACACCTCTGCTTGCTTGAGATCCTCTCCTCATGCAGTCTCTCGTTGCTGGTGCTGTGTTCCTGTGTGGTGTGCTTTTTGTGTGTCTCTGTGTGTGAGAGAGAGAGATTAGCTACCTATGCATTATATTAACAAATAATTCATTGCCGCTATACTGCTGCTAAATGTTGAGAACCATGATGAGTATTTGCTTTATCTTTCATTTCATTGAATCAAATTTGTGGATATGGCTTATATAGTAGTATTTAGCAATTGATACTACTATTTCGTATGTTACTTATTTTTTGTAGGCGTCAGTGCATCATATATATTTTGTTCAGCAGCAGTTTTACTTTGTTCTTTTCATTTTGTCCATAGTCCAAAGTGGCATGTTGCCTCTCTCTGTCTAGTTCATTGCCAGAAATTAGCCATGTTTTGCTCCCACAAGCATATTTTTTGTTTAAGTTTTGTTCATAAGTACATTAGGATGACAGTGGTTCAGTGAGTTAGAGAAAATTCATAGTAGTAGCTGACTGAGGTGAGTGTGTTTTTTCATTCCCTGTGCAATGTAACTTTCTTGATACAGCAATCTACATTTATAATTCATTTCATGCTTGCCTTTTGTGCTTGTTTTTTTATGGTTGTTAGTTCCTTCTATTAGTTTCCTTTTTTAGCTTCAGCTTCATGGATGCTCGGCCCATTAGCGTATGGGTAGCTGTAGCTTAGTTGCAGATCCATGTCTCACTGGTTATTACCTGAGACTTTCAGTTGAGTTATTAGTTTACTCTAGTTTTTTTTAGGTTTTTTTCAGTCTTAGTTTAGGTTTCAGGGTACCTAGTGACGACATCCATTGTCAAAGGATTAGAAAGTTCAGTTCAATTCCAGTAGAATTTATTTTCAGTTTTACTTTAGTTTCAGTAGAAGTTATTTTTAGTTTAAGTTCAGTTGAAGTCCAACAAGTTAAGTTTAATTTCAGTGTAGCCTATTTTCAGTTTAAGTCTTGAATATTAATTTCTTGTTTGCATGTTTTTTTGTTCAAATATTTCAGTGTAGCCTATTTATATTAAATATTTATTATTGAGATATTAACTATTGGATGGTGATTGTTTGTTTGGTTTGAGAAAGATTTGTTCCTGCCGCTTGTTGTTAGTGGCGAAGAGTTGGCTTGGCTATTAGCGCCTTGTTGTGATATATGATTGACCTCATGCATGTGGGCTTCAACACTCTGTTTTTTTTGTTTCAGGTGATGTTTGGTCTGTTACGTGCCTTTTTTCCTTGCTCAGTATATGTATCATGGCGATAATTTCATGTACTTCCACGTGTGCTTTAGTCTCTGTCTACAACTCTCCTATGTTGTTTGAGACAAAAAAAATGAAAGTTGTACTAGATTTATTAACGTTGATATTGGCCTATCTGGTTCACGGGTAGCTGGAGCTGCTGTTGATGCTAGGTTGCCCCTTGAAAAGGTAGCTAAACAAGCAAGGCATGCATCTAAGTTGGTTGGTACAATGGAAGTTGCTCTGTCATGGTGTACACTTCCTGGTAAGGGAACCTCAGATCGTCTAGGTCGAAGATCAAATGGAGCTTACTTGTGATGATATGTATTGGAAAAAAATTGTAAGTTTACTTATCATGATCCTTAAGCTACAGACCGTTGAGATGTAATGTACTACTACTAGATATTGTCCTTTGGTAAGATTGTATACATCAATTTTTAGCTGTATCTATTCTTCTAAACATTGGGTGTCTGTCATCTTTGCTAAAGTCCTGCAATATCCATTCTAGAGGTTGTTGCAACTATGAGATGGCTGCTTTGAGGCCTGCATTTTAAGCAATTGTGAGTACATTTCATGTCTCAATAAAATCTAGTTTACCATGACGTGTACCTTCATTGGCGATTTTCGAATCTTGTTGATTTTGTTATCTGGAAACTACCAATAGAGTATTTTCTCACATACAGAATACTCAATTTTGAGTTTAGAAAACCACACAGCTTGCAAAATATGCTCCAGCTACTTTAAAGTTGTGTTGGTGCACTACTGCACAAATAAGATGCATCCACAGTATATTATTGATTTTTTTTTGTTTATTATTCTTGTCCATAGTAGTCGTAGTGCTCTGTTCCTATTAATCTTTCCTATTCACGAAAACAAAACAAATAAAACATTGTCAATTAATTGCAATCAGCAATAATATAAATTGCAACTACCGAGCACCGCAATTGTAGTTTTGAGCATTTGCAATATGTGAAAATTTTAGTTACTTCATGACTGTAATTGGCATTTATGTTGTTTCAAGCAAATTTGTGATAACTTTCAATGTTCATTTCCAAATCCCTTGAAATACCAACCTGCAAATCAAAAGAGAAATACCAACTTAGTAGTTCATATATAATTCAATGCCAAAAGGTTTTCCATAGAGTGTGAGTATGGGCCTAAGACCTGTCTGGATGCATAGTCGATGGACCTAACTTTCCTGACATACCTATTAAGAATCTATGCTAACCATTTTGTCTGAAACATCTCATTGAGCTCATAGTCTGTGCCTTTGTGACTTGCGACTTGAGGGTAATTATTACATTGGGATGCAACCCCAGTGTGATGAAGGATCAGCTAGATATTTTGTTAACCATTTTTCTATATCTATAAATTAAAGTTGTGTCATCGTATTGTTATGGTTTATACTCGAACCTAATTTATCTGTCTAAAGAAGAAAATGTTCCACTTCATCGGCTCATGACACTGACCGAAAAAGAGTAGTTTTTGTTATTTAGAAATTATTAACAGAGAATTTTCTGTTTGTGAAAACAAAACATATAGTTAATTAATTGCAATCAACGATGATGCAAATTGCAGGTACTGAGCACCGCAATTTTAGTTCTGAGGATACGCAATATGTCCCAACACGTACCACATTTTTGTCCTTGTCTTCCGGTAGAAAAAATTGTAATATGTTAATTGTGATTTGTGCCAACACATTTCAGTTATTTGTCTTTGTTCTTCTATAGATAAAAATTGTAGTATGTTAACTGTGATCTGTGCCAACACAGACCACATTTTTGTCCTTGTCTTTCTATAGAAAAAATTGTAATATATTCACCATGATTTGTGCCAGCACATACCATATTTTTTTCCTTGTCCTTTCATAGAAAAAAAATGTTTTTTGTGATTTGTGCCGACAAATTTGTGTTTGTGTTTCTATAGAAAAGTTGTAGTCTGTTCATTGTGATCTGTGCAAGCCCACACCAAATTTTTGTCCTTGTCCTTTCATAAAAAAATTGTTTCTCGTGATTTGTGCTAACACAGACCACATTTTTATCCTTGTCTTTCTATAGAAAAAATTTATTACTTGTGATTTATGCCGACCCATTTCAGATATTTGTGCTAGCACACACCACATTTTTGTTATTCTTTTTAATTGTAATTTGTGATATCCAATAGCTTGATCTGCTTTTATATATAAGATTTGTACTATTTTTTAGCTTATCACTGTCCATACTAATTTTTCAATAGTACTTAGGGAATCGGTGTTCGGATGGTGAGTTCAACAGTAGATTTTGGATGGTTTTGGATGATTGAATAGTATTCTGTGAGAGAGAATATGCTGAAACAAGCTGAAATAAGTCGAAACCTTACCAGCCGAACGGGGTGTTTGTCTACAATTGTGTAGAGGTTGTGTGCCAGGTTATATTTAAATATGAGCTGAACTATAGAAGTACGTACGCTGCTACTAGTCCCCACTTGTTCCTAGGCACCTGTGTCCCTGCACCACACCACAGTCTGCAGCACTAGTTGGGCTTTTGTACTAGGGAGAAAGCTGCTGAGCAGAAGCCACCAGAACTGAGCAAACAGGATAGAGAAGGAAGATAAGATGGAGAGAAAGAGAGCAAGGAGTGTTGTTTCTTTTTTCTTCTTTTCTTGGCCTTTATGTTGCTGTGGGCTATGGCTGAAGGCCCTGAATCCTGCAGGTGTGGTCCTTTTCTTTCTTGTGAGGAAATGGTAGGCGGTAACTGAGATTGTGTCAGCGGGGGCAGGATTGAGGAATTTATGGTTGATTAGATAATTGGGGCCCCTAGGACTGCGTGTGTATGTGTGACAGAGAGTGACAAGGGAGAGGAGAGGTCGTGCCTGCTTTGAATTTGATGCCGAACTGAAGCTTATAATTGGTGTCGAACTGAAGCTTATAATTGGGGCCCCTGGGACTGCGTGTGTATGTCCTGTTTTGTAGCTTTAGTCCATGAGAAATGTGATACCCATACCATAAGTGAAGAAAACCTGAAAAATGAGTTTTAAGCTGAATGAATTATCTGAAACTGAAAAGCTTCAGGATCAACAACACAGGACATGCTTTCTCTTTATCTGCTTGATTGGCAGAATTGACTTATATATGAACCTAAATGTTGCCAAAGAACTTAAGTGCGGATTCATGGCATCTGAGTTTTACTTTCTAATTGGAATTTTATAAATTTCCTATGATGCAAATTAATATTTAACTGTTTTTTTCTTAGGAAAAAGATGCAGCTCTAGGAAATGGTGGCTTGGGTAGGCTTGCATCTTGCTTTTTGGATTCAATGGCAACATTGAATTTGCCTGCTTGGGGCTATGGCCTGCGTTACCGATATGGACTGTTCAAACAACACATTGCCAAGGAGGGCCAGGAAGAAATTGCAGAAGATTGGCTTGATGTATGAACCAAAAATGCACATATAATTCTGTTGATATTTTTTCTAGATCTCTATAACAAGTTCTCCTTTTTTCCTTCAGAAATTCAGCCCCCGGGAGATTCCCAGGCATGATGTGGTGTTCCCTGTCAGATTTTTCGGCCATGTTGAGATTTTGCCTGATGGCTTGTGGGTATAATATGAACAACACATTTTTTGTTTGACGAAATTTATTTTTGCTGCATTTAGTTAAATTTGAAGTTTTTAAGGCTTCTCATACTTTCTAGTCTAGATAAAAAAGAGAATCACATTCCTTTGTTAGCTTGGTTGAACCATTCTAAACTCCTAGTTCTAAGAAATATTCATTTATCTCTTTTTACCTTCCGACTTTCGAACTAAAAAAAGCGCAACTATGAGGTGTAATGCGGATGCCTTATTTTTTTGTGTAATCCAAAAGCTTCGCTAATATGAATTTTAAATGTCTGAACCACAAACTAAGTTTGGGTTTGGCGGATTTGCTTATACTTCAATGATAAATCCATTACATTTAACTTACCTAGATCTTCGTAGATCCTTCTCCCGATTTTTTTTTCTTTTTGTTATTTATTTCATGTTATGGGTGGTTATTTGAGGGCCTTGATGTAACTCATCATATGATTGATTTCTTTGTCGTGTGATAGTCGGAAATGGGTCGGAGGAGAAGTCCTCAAGGCTTTAGCATATGATGTGCCAATCCTCGGATACAAGACAAAAATGCAATCACCTTCGTCTTTGGGAAGCAAAAGCTACTGCTGAAGATTTCAACTTATTTCAGTTCAATGATGGTCAATATGAGTCACTGCCCAACTTCATGCTAGAGCCCAACAGTGATATTTCATTCTAGAGTGAAACTATCGGCTATTCATAAGATTCATTTCAAAGACTAAATAAAGAGTGATGCCTTTACTTCTTGGAATATTTTTATTGGTGATGATATTGCATGCTGAAACCTGTAACTTATTCCTTCATGGTACTAGTTCTATCTAGAAAAGAGACTTACGTCTTTGAGTATCACATTGCAGATATGTGCCGTTCTTTATCCCGGTGATGCTACAGAAGAAGGAAAGCTTCTAAGGCTGAAGCAGCAGTTTTTCCTTTGCAGTGCATCACTTCAGGTAGTTAATCAATTCATTTCACTTGAGCAAGGTTCCAATAAAAGGGCCAGGCATGTATGCCCACCTTGTGCTTTTCTATATGTTTGGCAATGATCTATGAGATAATTGCAAACACAATGTTATAATTTTCTTGTATTGTTTGAACCATCAATATATCAGGATCAATCATGTTACCTCTAGTATATGCACCACCACCTAAACTGTTTTCAAATTGTACTAGGATAATGAGATTTAGATCATTTATCCTATTTTCTTTTAGTTGCAGTGTGCCTTTTATGGTTCTAGTTTGTTAAAGATTTATCAATATCTTAAAAATATCTCTGTGACGATTATTGATGAGCATAACTGAAAATGGGTTATTTCCAGGATATAATTGCCAGATTTAAAGAAAGGAAATCTATGTAGTATTTGCACCTAGTGATTTATTGAGGTGGATTATGTATTTATATACATATACAATATAATTGCAATAACAATATGTAGTATTTGCACTATTTGAAATGTGCAATTTTTGTATTCTTGTTTTGTAATATTTGAAGATGATATTCATTGTGCATTTTTTCACCGAGAACTACTCTTTGCTGATATTGGGCCTCTCTGTCTTCTTAGTTAGTGGGCCTCTCTAGCACGTCTTTATTGGGCTGAACGACAGCTGTGGGCCTTGTTTGCCTGATGGAATTTGTGTGTTGCATTCTCTTAAAACACATGTTTTTTCTGGTGTTTCAATTCGTGTGTTTCTTAGGCATCTAACAAACATGTGCTAACTAGTCCAAAAACACGTGGTTTTTCTTATGTTGAAATATGTGTGTTTTACAAATAGCAAACAACCATGTGTTGGTTTATGTTAAAACACACATGTGTACAGTAGACAGACTCATTTATCGTTTGAAGAAGCATATGGATTTGTGACTTAAGCCACAATAGTAATAAGTTCAAACTAGAAAATATTAACCTTGAAAGTGTAGTGTAGGTGCACAAAGGAACATTAATGCAATAGCTTCGGCCAAAACAGCATAAACAATATAGTGGAGGACAAATGGACAAGAACGTAATCAGATTCGATAGACGACAATTAAGCTGTGCAATGAGTATTATCGAATTGACGGACGAATTATGAAAGGTAGAACAACGCTACAAAAGGGTCTTGTTAGTTAGCATAATCCATTAGGCTTTTTGGCAGCTTGCAAACATAATCCTGCGGGAGTTAGCTGGAAGGCAACATCAAACAGTATCTCAGAATCATATCTAATAAATTGATTTCATGTAAACCATGTTCATTGAATCTGCAATGTATCCTATCTGCAAATACATTTTATTTTGACTTGCGAAACTAGTTCAGCATCTAGTGGGAATCATATATATATCCTAATTTTAACCCGTAACTTAAGTGTACTGTATCTGAAGCTAAGTGTCAAGTGTGCATAATAAGTAAACAAAAAAACCTTTTGTATGTTAAAATTGCGTATATAGCTAGACTTAGGTCGCGCAATTGATAAAAAAAATATCAACATTGCCAAGATAAATTTGAACGTTACAAATTATAAGAAAAACACATACAAAAAAATGGGGAGATTGGCCGACGAGTGTCTGACGATGCATGATGTGATATATATATTCTCTAATCTAATAAAATGGAAGATATGGCACCAGACACAAGTTGATCAAGTTGAAGCTGAGCGGCCTGCAGACCTCAACCTCCCTATCCTGAGTCTATGTATACTAGGCTCCAATACTTAAACCACGTGCAAGAAAAATATTAATATGTTTCTAAGAAATATAAAGTACAATAATACAGCTAGTTGATGAGCATACAAAAGCTACAAATTTTTGCAGTCCACTCAAGACACAATATAAATTCGCTTGATCTAGCTACTCCCTGAATTATGATTTTTTTTTCAGAATAGAATAGGAGCATTCACATTTGAGAGTTGAGACCACTTTTTCATGGAACTTAAGAAGAAGAAAATGTTAGCCCACAGGATCACCGGCTCAGGTGAGTTGATCACTCACCAGTCTTGCTGAGCACCTGCTAGTGTTGCCGAGCACCCACTAGCTAAGCCGACCACGACGAGCGTTGTCCGACCACACACACTATGGCTAGAGGTTGAAGAAGAGGGAGAACAGAGCATATACACAGTACAAGCACCAACGTTGACCGGAGCCCTGTATAGGAGATGGTAAATCTGAACTCTCTTTACTGAGTTGCAGAGGCAGTCTATTTATACAACTCTATCTATCTAGTCCTAGTACAGCTGCTATGTTGCTACAGTGACTAGATAACACAGCAGGACTGACTTCTGCGCCTGTCTCTGCATGTGGCTACAGTGCGGCAGGTGAGCCGTTCGGCGCCTGCCTCTACAACGGCTACCGTACCACAACAGGGAGCTTTTTCAGCGTCGTCTTCTCTTACTATGTGTTTACACAAGGAAGCAGTAGATTATGAAAACCATGGGTTCCAGAAGTAGATGTACCAGTACATTACCACTTGTGAATTGTGATTTCAGGAGCTGACTTTGAGTGCACCTGTTGCCGACCAGCTGCTAGTAGTATAGCCAGCCCTGAGAAGAGGCAAAGATTCCCATTCCAAGAACCCCTCTCTATCATGGGTCGTGGAGCCAGACATGTCACCCGCATCAGTAATCCCACACTTTTGACCGCCTACAGCGTTCAAAAGTCGACGTCGCCCCCTTTTCCTCCACTGTCACTGCCATCGACCCATCCTCCCTACCTTTGCCCCCTCGCCAGTCGCCACAAGGACAGGCACCATGCAGCGCACGCGCTGGACCGGCGGCGTCCACCCGTAGTCACCAACCAGGCAACCAGCGGCTAGCTAGCCGTGACCTGTGCATGAACATGGGCAGGCGCTCGCGAGGGGATGCGAGCTGCTCCATAGATTTTTGTCTCCGCGCGCCTTGTCAGTAGCCCCGCGGCGCCTATTTAAGCCGCCGTTCCCTTCCCCGTCTAACCTTTCCGTCCCCTCGGCCTCACTTTTCCACCGCTCGCTAGCGCGCGCGCGCCTTCGTTCTCCTCCCCTCACCAGTCAGCAGCTCTCTGGAGTCGTCGTCACATCACCGGATCACCCTAGCTTAGTTAGACGACCTCGAGGGCCTACGAGGCTACGACTCCATCCTGCTGGTGCTGCTAGCTCATCATCATCATGCTAGAGAACCAAAAGCAAGCGGAGGTAGGCCAGCCCGAACGCACGCACGCAAGCGCACTCATCACGCTCTGTTGTCGTCTTGTTTCTCTCCGATGTCCGATTCCACTACTCTCCCATCTTTCGAGCTAGCTCCAGCTCAAGCTCCGACCGGCCTATGACATGGTTGTTACTGACGCTGTCTGTGTGCGCACATGCATGGCTAGGTTCTCTGGCCGCGGCTGGTGGCCAACAAGCTCTTCCGGAAGACCTCGGGCAGCCACGCCTTCGTCGCCGACTTCCCCGCCGCCGATGACGACGACGACGACGTCGTCTTTGGGACGGAGTTCGACGACGGCGGGTGCAGCCCCGACGTGGACGCCAGCCGCTGCGTGAAGCGGGCGCGGCCGCAGGAGCGCAACAACAAGACCCTCAAGTACAAGTATGTAGTCATCCTAGTCCATATATATTCCTCGCGTCGCGTCGCCTAACTATAGCTATAGCTTTGTATGAGCCATTGAGCCGTGCGTGACTGGCTGGCGTCGTTATTGTTTGGTGGCACTGGCATGGCAGGCTGTTCGCGAGCACGTGGAACGTCGGCGGCGTGGCGCCGCCGGACGATCTGGACCTGTCGGACTGGCTGGACGGTGGCGACGACGGGCCCTACGACATGTACGTGCTCGGGTTCCAGGAGGTGGTGCCGCTGCGCGCGCGCAACGTGCTGGGCGCCGACAAGAAGCGCGTCGGGATGCGGTGGATCGAACTCATCCGCGCCGCGCTCAACCGGTCGCACTCGCGGCAGAGGGGAGGGAGCAGCAGCGGATCAGGCGACGGCGGCGGCAAGCAGCAGCAGAAGGTGTACCCGGTGCGGGACGGCGGGCGCGGCGAGCTGGCCAGGGACTACCGGTGCGTGGTGAGCAAGCAGATGGTGGGCATCCTGCTCACGGTGTGGGTGCGCTCCGACCTCCGCCGCTTCGTCCGCCGCCCCAGCGTCTCCTGCGTCGGATGCGGCGTCATGGGCTGCCTCGGCAACAAGGTGAGTACACTATAGTACTGGTGCTCGTACGTTCATTCCACGACCTAGCTAGCTAATCCTAGTCCGATCGAAATGGTGTCCGGCCGGCTGGCATCTAACCAAGCAAGCAAACGAACCGATGGAATGGCTGCAGGGTGCCGTGTCCGTCCGGTTCTGGCTGCACGACACGAGCTTCTGCTTCGTGTGCTGCCACCTCGCGTCGGGCGGGCGCGAGGGCGACGAGGCGCACCGCAACGCCGACGCCACGGAGATCCTCTCCCGGACGACCTTCCCGCGGGGGCACGCGCTCAACTTGCCGCTGCCGCACAAGATTCTAGACCACGAGTAAGCCACTCATTGCTCCCTCCATCAATCTATCCACTGCCACTTATATGCGGTCACGCCATGCCAGCCAGGAAACAGATACCACCGGTAATTCAAGTCGTTTTGACAGTTACACGGTCTCCAAAGCATAATTTTGATTTTTTATTTTTATATAAATATTTATTGGAAAGTGATATATGTATATTTTTATGAAAATACATTTTCAAACTCAACAATTTAAAGAATATTCATGATTTATATTCTCAATGTTTGACCCAAGACTTATTAAAACGACTTAATTAACAGAATGGAACGAGTACAGGTCGGCCCGAATGGTCGCCCAGTTCCAAGAGACCTGTGTGCTGCAATAGTACGTGGCGTGCAGTAGATTAGTAGCCTAGTAGGGATGGTGGAAAAAGAAAAAGAAAGAGAGATGCTGACGCTGACACGCACCGGCCGCATATCATACGTATGTACATGCACAAACGTTACAAGTACAACGCCCGCTCATTTTTTACTCCGTCGACGAATCGTATATTCTATATTTAATCCGGTAGCTGAACCGTCCACGGTGCCGGTAAATATTAAATCAAGGGCAGGTGTAGACGATATTTTGCCGTATCTGGGATTTGGGTACAAGATAAACATACTACCACTAGCTACTTACTTTCACCACAAAACAGGAAAATACTACCTCTACCAGTGAACGTATCATTTGATCGTGTCATATGTTGATTCGGTACGGCATACGTATATATCCAGCAATTGAAACGCATGTTGACTTAGTGGTAGTTTACCGCAGCTAGAGACGAAGGTTAATTCGAAAGTATTTAAGCGATCGTGGCAGGTCTGATCGACCGCCCAGCTCCCCTGTTTTATATACCGACGCTGGTGCTGTACATATACATACAAATACAAAGTATATAAAATACTTGCATACATCAGCTTAATTGCTACTGTAATAATGCTAGATCGGTTGCATGCACGTAGTCAAAGACAATAGACAAAGACAGCTAATACAACGAGCGAAGATGAACGAATCGATGATGAGGCAAAGGCAAGGCTTTGGCTTTGACCAATAGATAGATAATCTGATGACGTGCATGCTCCGGGCTTGCTTTTCTGTTGTGCAGCCGGGTGATCCTGCTCGGGGACCTCAACTACAGGATCTCCCTGCCGGAGGCCAAGACGAGGCTGCTGGTGGAGCGCCAGGACTGGAAGACGCTGCTGGAGAACGACCAGCTGCGCGCCGAGGTGTGCCGCGGCGCAGGCGCGTTCCAGGGCTGGAGCGAGGGCGCCATCACCTTCTCCCCGACCTACAAGTACTACCCCAACTCCGACGCCTACTACGGCTGCGCCACCGCCACCCACGGCGGCGGCGGCGGCGGCCACAGGAACAACAAGCGGCGCGCGCCGGCGTGGTGCGACCGCATCCTGTGGCGCGGCGCGGGGCTCAGGCAGACCCGCTACGGCCGCTGCGAGTCCCGGCTGTCGGACCACCGCCCCGTCCGCGCCGTCTTCACGGTGGAGGTGGACGCGCCCAGGAACCTCAACTCGCTCAGGAGCTTCTTCGTGTCCGAGAGGTTCGACAAGGCTGGCAGCAGGAGCCCCGCCGCCGACCAGCTGCTCCGCAAGGACGACGTCGTCAACAGCGCAAGATTCGGCGACACTCTTTGAGACGCGCATGCATGAGAGGGCGGAATTGTCAGTCCACTTCTCCGATTGCGATTGTACACAGGCAAAAGCTAAGACAGATGCAGAGTATATATATGATTGTTTTTCATTTCTGTGTCAGTGTTCGTAAGATCGTATCTACTACAGGTAGCTAGGATACAGAGTTTTTGTTTTGTTTTTTTTTTCTTTGGTTTCCACCCTGTTCCCTACGTTCTGTATGTAACTGCATTTGTACGCTTCTTGATCCAATGAGTATGATTTGTTCTCAAGTTTGTTGCCAAGCATGATAATAGACTTTGAACAGTAATTTTCGAACGGGCTTTGATGTTCCCTGATATAATGGGTAGCTTAAGCAAAAGCGTGGTTGGCAACTGATGTTCTTCTTTCTTAACTGACGCGCGTTCAGACTTCAGAACCATATATAGATCGAGGAGATCTTGGATGATTTGTGAAACTTAACCTGTTTTTGCGTACGTCAACAGTGACCCATTCACAGAGAAAACTATTGTGGGAACTCTTAAGTGTTATCCAAAAAATTGAAAAAAAAAACAATTGTGGCGTCGTCATGGGCCATAGCAAATTAGCAATTGGGCAATACTCAGACTACTGGTGGTTTCAAGCTATCAATCCATCCCCTAAATTCAAGGGCTCTGTGCGTTAAGATTGTCCCCCCCTTCCCCTCTCTACCCTCTTGTTTCCTGCTGATTGTTCCTTCTATTTGTCAGGATTCTGCAGAAACAAATGTCTTGCTCCAAGACAAGGCTGCTGTCTTGCATTGCATTGCACTGCATGTGATGCGAGACAGGCGTTTTGTCTCTAGTCTCTCTGCTTATCATTTAAGCATGCTATTGATGTAATTGTAGATGTATACGTATGGCTGGTTCAAATAATCCCGGCAAATATGGTACCAGTTCAGTTAACTCACCTTACCTTTTAACAGAGCTGAAAATCATCATGGTTCTATTCAGAAGAAGATCATTATGCACGTTAATCATGTGAATCCTGAATCTAGACTAGAGGGGCACATACATTGTGTGAACCCTGTACCATACCAGGAGTCCCGTTTCAGATGTTTCACAGTTTGATTAATATATGAAGCTGGTCCTAAAACAATGGTTTGGTTTGGCAGTAATTGACACAGTCGGATCAAACGGATCTTTGCTCAGTTATTGGCGTAGGTGCCGCGCTACGATTGACAAAGGCCAGATTGACAAAGGCCAGAGAAAAATGTTTGATGGTGTCATAATCTATTTCTAGTGGACCATATGGACAGAAGGGAATAGAAGAACTTTTCAGAACAAGAGTCTGCAACCAAGGGAAGTGGCCCTCTTATGCAAAGAGAAGTGGTGCAATACCAGTCGACGACAAGATCCTATGTGCAAACCAATCAGTCACAGCAATAGTAGACCTCGTCTCTTTTCTTCTGATTTACGAAGTATTGTCTTCTGTTCCCTTCTCATTCAGGTTTTTTTCTTTCCACTTCGGGTGGTGTACATAGTAGGGTGGCTGGCCTGCGGGTCAAAGTGGTGGCGAGCATAGGCTCGTCCTTGTAGTTCTGTACTAATATTTTTTCTCTTTTCCCTGTCTAATAAAAATCCGGCAAAAACCTTTGCCGCCTTTCGAAGGAAAAAAAATGAAGCTGGTCCTAAACAAGTGATCCTTGAAGATTCTCTCCAGTACTTATGTAAAAGTGAACTGCGATGCAGCCTTTGATACGGAGACATGGAATGGTGGATGGGGCTGTGTTCTTCGTGACTCTGATGGAGATGTTGTCGAGGCCCGCCGAGGAAGAATAGAAGCGTTACTCAACCCGTTGCAAGGTGAGATGATTGCCTGCATTCACGGCGTCTAAGCGGCAATCGATGCGGAGGAGTGGGGCATGTGGTCATTGAATCGGATGCGGTTGCCGTTGTCCAAGCAGTCTACTCGAGCACCTATGACTTATAAGTGCTGTCACTCACCTCGCCGAGGAGCTTCGCAGTTTGCTTCCTCTGAATTTTATTTCCTGGGTTGTCCAACAGAGACCTCGGTCTTGTAATAGAGTTGCTCATGAGTTAGCGTCTCTAGGGAGTTCATGTGATCCGGCTGAGGAACCAGTTTTGGATTCCATCCCGGCACATATCTTGTATTTAATTGCTGATGATTCAGCGTCTTTTCAGTAATGGAAATGCTTTCCCTCAAAAAAAAAAGAGTAATTATACGCCAAGATATTTATTTAAGGAAACAGCTAACTCAATTGTGTTGGTCTATTACGGCGTTTCCACTTGATGACTCCACGAAGGTCTTAGCGAGCTGCGAGCGGCAAAAACAAATGACCAAATAATATTACATCATGGATCACCTAACACCTGCTGAATCATATTCATATGGGTCCAGTCGTCATACTCGAGAGAAACAGCGAAATCATTGGATCGTTAAGAACAGTGCGCCGATCGATGGCATACATAAGAACAAGATAAGGTTTCCAAATTACGTTCAATAATTGTTAAAGTTCATTCAGTGCAAAAAGACTTTCTCACTGATGAAAATTGTGTCTCTAACCCCTCTAACAATGACATCAGCGCACCAGCTCACAGAAAGCACCTAATGAACAAGTTGCCTCCTTTTTTATCCTTCTGAAAGCTCCATTAATCCATGTTTTAGCTCCTATCGCGTTGTAGAGCTAGCGTTGCAGAAGACAAATACCGTCATTCATCCACCATGACATAAGGCGAAGTCAGTCGGCGCATAATTTTGCAGGAGACGACGATAACACTTCTATCAGATGAGTGATGCAAGTTGCTTATTGGTGTCAAGAATGGCAAGTTGTTGGTAGGCCCTGCCTATCTTCAAATGGGTGTGTTAGGTCAGGTCAATCCCTCCACAACCACTTACCCTGCTGAGGTAGCAAGGGGAAGAACACTTCTGGTGAGACAGGAATTGGTCTAGAGTGATCTGTGTTCTTCCTTGCCTGCTTCCTGGAGAAATATCTTTATCGCAGCCATACATACAACTGGTCCACGGTCGCAAGATCCGAACACAAGCTACAAAACACACACGCCAAGTGGCAAACTTTCCGAATTCGGGTTCAAATCTTTGGTCGCCGCAGCTTGGTAGGGCAACTTTGGTGGACTTTGCATTGGCCTGATTGAGAGACATGCAACTGTGGACATCACCACAAATGGTATGCACATGTGGCGGCTACAGGTCGTTTCCTTAGTGGCATCAACATGTCATGGTCCTACTCCAGCAATCATGCACTGACGCACTGTGTAGCAGTGTACGCTAGGTTCACTTTGGCTGGCCTGGGCATCACACTGCTGCAGAGCTTTTTCTCTATGACATCGAAGCTGCAAGTTCTGGTAGCCGGTAGATGGATCTTCAAGCCTTGAACCATTGAACCCCCCACTAATATATGCGTCGTCGTTCTTGGTCAGTAATATCTTGCAGTCGGATGAGTTCCAGAATGTGCCGATCAGGACACTTGGAACAGGGCTGCAACTACAGTAACCTATCTGTCAACTTGTTCTGAAAAAACAGGGGTAACCTTTCAGCAAATCAGTAGGGCCTACTTTGGCAGCCCGCTTTCCCGGAGGGATCCCACCGTTTTCCCCGTGCCATTCTCCCCCGGGCCAATTTTTGCGTACTTTGGCAGCCCACCCACCCGAGGATCTCAGCCAGATTCCCTTCCTTTTCCCCGCGGTAGGAATCCACGACTCGTGAGGCCGGGAGGGTTTCCCCGACTCGCTCACGACTCGCGATGCCGCCCAATCGCGAGGCCACCGCCACCACAGCATCCGGCCGCCGTCGCCCCGGTATCCCGTCCCTGCCGCCCCTCCACCTTCTCATCGCTTCAACTCGCGCCAACGGTGAGCCCGCCTCCGCCGCCGCGACTTCCCTGGTCAGTCCACCACCATCCACATCTCCTTCCCCACAGAAGCTTCTCGATCTTCTAAGGTTTCATCCACATCTCTTTCTGGTTGATCTTGGAGTTACCGGTCCGCGAGCTCGGACGCCTCTACCGCTAGCCATTGTGCCGTTCGTGAGCAACACCGACGTCGCCAGCAACATGACACAACCTCTGCCTCTACAGGTTAGTCTTCTGTCCGCATCTCACACCCCTTCTTGTAGATCTGGGCAAAACAGCTACTAGGAAGATCCACCGTGATGTACCAAGGTTGTTTCAGATCCAATTGCTTCATGTAGCTTAAAGAACTCAACTGTTGAACTACTTTACTATTCATTAGCAGAGTGATTCTATGGTTTCTTGTTTGTGATGTGAAAATAGATGTCATGAATTATGATTCTTCAATAATCGGTAGAGATTGTAATGTTCATTGGTGAGCTGGTTTCTGTGTTCAGAACACCATTGCAATAGAATAGGATGGCATGCTGTGATGGATTTTTTTCTAGCATTGCACAACAACTATAGCCTGGCACCATCCGGTCTAAAATATGACAGATAGTATTATCTGAAGCAGTTCGTCTCTGTATGAATGCATGATAGGTCTCACCTACTCGGCACGAGATCTTAAGCAGAGTGTGCCTTTTTAATTTGATGGCAGCGTGGGATCTTAAGCAGAGTTTTTTTAATTCCAGTGACGTCCATACTCGTCAATTACTCAATCTAATAATCTGCGTGTGAAAGGTCCTTGTTGGTTTTGGTAATTGAGTGACAACCTAGGTGGACTAATTGTGTTTATGTGAGATACACAGGTGATTAGTCCACAGGTACATGTGTATGAGCAACATATGCCATGGAGGTGAAAATGGCTTGGAGATGTTGCAAAGCTCACACATGTGATGATGAAGGAGCTTATTGCACATGAGACATGACATTGAGTCATGTGATCAAGGTGGAGAAGATCAAGACAAGACTTGGCTTGATGGACCGGTTGCAAGCGTGAAGGGCAAGTCGAAGGCTTTGGAGTGATGGACCGCGTGGCGGTGAAGCTTGAGCAAGACTTGGCGCCGATGGACGATGGCAACGGTGAAGGGCAAGTGAAGTCAAGATCGATGAACCA